GTGTGCATGTCATTCTCAGCAATAGCTATAGCCTCCCCGGCGTATACGACCCATCTGCTGTCTTTAACATCTATCAATCCATTCACGAATGTAGAAGACTAGAAACAACTTCAGAAGTAAGCATGACAAACAATTTAACAAAATTACGTAATAACAACAAGGTACGAAAACAACGAGTAAACACAATGAATCCAAAACACCACCAATTGATATGACACACCGCACGTATATACAAACAGTACAAATAACCTCGTGGATCATGTCTTGGTGGAATTCCTTTGAAGAATCGCAGGACTTACACCAGTACGCCTAAAACCCTTCTCAGGTTGACGATTGTAAGTTGTGGAATGTCCGGACACAAAGAATATTAACCAACAATTACAATAATTGGAACTCACACAAGTATTTAACACAAAAATATGTACAATCACTACATCAAATGTTGTGGATTCTGGCACGACAAACTACTCTTGAAGAACTGTAGGACTTACAGCAGTACGCCCACAACCCTTCTCAGGTTGACGCTCTAGGTTGGAAAATCGTCGCAGAGTTCATTTGCTGACTTCCGTCTAACAGCTATATCCTCAAATCTGAAGGGTAACACACTCATGTCATTGTATCGTAGAATATAGATGACGAACAAACACACGACGTATCTGGTCAACCAAGCGTAGAAACAGAGTAATTTACACCAAAGATAATAGCATTCAAATAGTAACTTGAAACTAGAAGTGCCTTTATTCGTGCAAGTCAATTTAACAATTACTCTCTCGTTTACACTTGGCTTATCCTCACTAAACTGACCAATATCTTTCGTCTTTTCAAACGCACCAATACTATCATAGTCATTGCACAAGATACTTGAGTTGGTGGGCGTCTTTTTCATCGTGGATGACAACACCAACGACGACCGAGTGACACAAGTTGATGAACTTAGCGGTGGATCAGAAGCTGTTGTGATTCGACTTTCAGAAAGTTGTCTACCTCCAAGACCACCACCACTGCTGTCTTTTACTATCAGCTCAGGTTTAGCAATAGCATCTGATGATAGGTGGGCTTCACTCTGATCAATTACACTGACGGTCTCACAAGTATGCACACCTTTTGGAACTGCATCTGCATTTATTTCTACTTCACGTTCAAGTTGTACAGAAACTTTGTTCAACTTAGCAGTAGTAGGCATATCCCTCATCTCATCATGATCAACCAAAGACAAATCTGCACTATCATGATCATTATCACGAACATTCACTTTACCGTCAATTTCATCATTTTCAAACTCTTTATTAACAGAGGTAGACAATTTTGGTTCCTCCTCACAAACCATTAAAGGTTTTATAACTTCACTCTGACTAGTTATACTTTGTAAACTTTTGGAGTCAGAACTGCACTCTGAAGCAGTAACTCTATTCTGTGACACTCTATTCAACAATGGCTTACCAGTTGCAACTACAGACTTCTTGGCCGCACCGTTATCGTCACACAATTGGGAGTCAGGCCTGGAGTTTACATTTAGCTTATCACTGAACTTGCTCACTTCTTCACAGTTCACCTTTGTACGCACTTCTTGCAAACGTGTAAAACACAACCGTGTTTGTCTTGCATCTTGTAACTCCTCTGTTGAGGATGTACTACGAAACCTGTTACACTCACTAGGTCTATATGCATTACTAGACATCATGGATCCATCTCGATATCCACCTCTCTGAGGCCCTTTCGTCATCAATGATTGCGTTTTTCCCTCAGACTGCTCTATTCTAGGGATGAGATTCAATATACTGGCAAACTTGCTCATAGATTGATTGACACTATCTTTTATTAGTTTCAGGATATCATCAAATTTTGGCTCGATACCCTCATCCTCCGTACGGGAGCTTATCTTCACCCACTTCCTTTGCAGTCGAGTAGGTAGGCGTCTTGCTATTACTTCTAGTATAAAACTCGAGTTGAGGTCACTCATGCAATTCATAGAAATCAATGCATTCTTCTAAATCAGTAAATTATCCAAAAACTCAGTGAGTGCCTGGTAATCATCCTGTAATTGACCACCATTTCCCTTAACAGCGTCGAATAATTTCCTTACAATCATTGAAGGTCTTCCAAACCTTTGACGTAATATGCTCATAGCCTCGTAGTAGCCCTCTTTTGGCTTCATAAACTTACAGCACTGTATAGCTCTTGCAGCAATTCCAGTGCAATACCTCATCAAATACATTAACTTCATTTCATCACTTAATGAAAAACCACTTAACATGATTTCGAATTCTCATACAAACTGTAAATAGTCAGCCGGGTTTCCGTCGAAACACCGTGGTTCAAATTTAGGGAGTTTGATGTTCCTATTATCCCTGAACGGCGAAACAGTAACATCAACCATGTCATGCTTAACATCAGACACATCGTTACAATTAACAGACAAGTCACCATGACTTACTTTCCTGTTTGCATCCAAGACGCTCTGTCCCTTCTTTGACCCAGGCATTGTTGAACTTGACCCAATTCCAAAAACGTTCCAGATATTGCTTGTTCAAAGAGGACTTGACCGGCACGAGGAAAGATGAACGGTGACTATCCAAACTTTCACCAACTGTCTGAATGCGTCAGAACCTGACTACACCATCAGAAACTGTCAGTCACGTCTCGTAAACCGTTAATGCCCAGCTCTTGCTACGTTTGGACTCACGCTGTTCCATGAAGTTTCTCAGAAACGCTTAGTAATAACGGACGCAAAAACCAAAACACAGATTGGCGACTCGAGAGTTCTTTATTGTAACACCAACATATAGCCAACTTTAAAACTAAGCTTTGCAACTAATGTCTATGAACGAATATTACAATAATAAATCACAATATTACCTCTGACGGTTGTCTCCTGACTTCTTTCTGAACAGCGACCGATGAGACGATGACTGTCGTATTGATGCCTCCGCGAAAATTGGGGAAGTTGGTTTTGAGCAAACAACCATGAATTGATCCTTCAATCTTCAGCTACATTGACACGTTCTTTATGTTTCGAGAATTTCAAAGATAAGATGCTCCTAATTTAAGGAGTTTCAGTCTTCCTGCTTTTCAGTAAAGACTTTCGGGATATAATAAGCTGAGGCAGCAACATGGACTTCAAGTTATTACTCTGCCTTTAGCCCTTGTGCCTTAGGAAAATAACTAACCTGACCAATACCAGCCATTGACGTTAGTGTCCTTTTCCGCATGCTGCAACACTATCAAACAAACCTACTATCGGCTTGGGACGATTGGACATGATGCTGGGATATGAATGTTTTCCTACACAAAATAAGTCAGGCAGGTATAGGTAAGTCACTTCTGTCATGGTTAAAGGACTACCTAGCTGATAGGCAATTTTGCACTAAGGTCAATCGAATTAGATCATCTTGGCACAGCTCATCATCAGCCGTGTCGAAGGGTTTTATCTTAGAATCACTGGTGTTTTTTGATTTCTATCATTGACCTACCATGCCGTCTAAGCTGCCCGACTCCTCCATACACTGACGATGTGAAGATATGGAGGTTAACAAAGTATCCGGAGGACTCAGATAAGCTGCAGGCAGATCTAAAACTTCTGGAAAACTTGGAAAAGTGAAAAGTAGTGAAAGTAAGCACCTGTAGGCTGCAGAATCCAAGTCACACCCTGTGCAATATAAGTTTGTCCTGCACAACGTCGGACTAGTTTTAACGGAAAAATGGGACACAAGCGTAAATTACACGGGAACATAGTGAGGGCATATACGTTCATATACTTTACACATAAACAGTTAGGTGCACTCACTCGTGAGCTCTTCATTCATTCATTCATTAATTCATTCACTCATTCATTCATTCATTCATTCATTCATTCAGGGGTAGACAACTGAGTTCGTCGTTTTACTTCTTTACATTCCCTCCCGTCTTACTCCCTGGACAACTTCAACTACTACGCTTATTATTGTTACTGATATTGTATATATATAAATATATCTATATATATACATCAACTTCAAATTAAATCAGCTGTATGTTTTACGTTTTCTTTATTACTTTTTCTGTCTTTATCGTATTTATCGTTATTATCACATCTTTTCTTTTGACAACGATATCTGAGGAGGAACTGGTTAAAGGGCCAACTGCATTCACGGTAGTAACAGTGTTAACACAACGCAAACTACAAAAACATGTAATCAATCCCAGCGCTACTCTTTTTGGAGTCAACCAAAACTACGACAGTCGAGTGGCAGGATGAGCTACGCAGAAGTTTCCTGAAGATCAGGAACCTTTACCTCACGATCAAGAGGCGAGCACAAAAAAATCAAACCGGTTTATCCCACCTCCGACAAACGCTTTTTGCGTCGGTGGCACGGCGGTTAGAACTCTCGCCGACCATGCACATGGTCCGAGGTTCGATCCCCTGCCGACGCATACTCGGTATCAGTGGGTGGCCTGCAAAATTTGGGCTACTGATATCACATGCTGAAAATTCCATACTTGTACCAAAAATACGGTGTGGAATCAAGCTATAATGCAAAGAAGATAAAACACTAACTCGTAATAAACTATATTGGATATTGGACTCATCAAGTATAGATAATACCAAGCTTAACAAGAGGGACAAAAGGGAGATGGAAAATGATTGTAAAAGCAAGTTGTAATATTAAGATGGTGTCTGTCAGTTATCGCTCATCTCACTCAACATATTGAATATATGGAAAGGCGGCAGTTTAATTTTTCGCGAGGTTTGTACGTCAATTTTCTGTTGGGTCTATACATTATCTTTTTCACTCTCAGAATTGCTTAGTATTTCTCACATCTTGTACACTCCAGTAATTAAGAGTAGCTGCAGTTGACATTACAAGACTTCCGCTTATTTGACAGATAAAAATTCATGTAAAGACGACTACATATGTGCAACTTACGCTATTTTAAACCCTTCCTTATAGCAGTCTTCTAGTAGCGGGATAATCCATTCATTGACGGCCATTCGCTTGAAAACATAATTAGTCCTTTGGAAAATGGAGCCTCCTCGAAACCCTGCACCTCATCTGGTCATCCCGAGTCCAATTTTTCACAAACGAAATCGCACAAAATCGCAGTCAGAAAATGCTTCATCAGGAGAAATTGGAAGAGGTGCAATAATGAGTTTTTGCCGACAAAAGGGCCACGGCTTCATAAAACCTGATGACGGCGGTGACTATTTGTTCGTTCATGTTTTTGAGTAAGTTATTATTAACTCCTTAATAGTTTTGAAGTGTTGATGGTGAGTATGTGCCAATAGAAGGAGATGTTGTGGAATACCGTAAGATGCTCATTCCACCAAAGAATGAAAAGTATCAAGCAGTGCATGTGAAAATTGTTAATCTTACTCCAGGGAAACATAAAACCTGGGATGAACCAGCTTGAATTATTTTAATTACACTTTATCACATGTTGACTCTCCCAGTTGATTGGGTATGCTATTTTTAATTGTGCTGTACATAACATGAATGATTTCAGCTTAAATACAACTTAAAACTTGTTGACATTAGCATTTCTGGCTATTTCTTAATCGTCTCATGATACGATTTTCATGATTCCTGTGAAATGTGGAGTGCGTAACGACAGTTATTAGAGCTTCTCTGCCTATTGTGCAGTTGATTAAATTTTAGAGGAGAGTAGTGTATCGTTTAACAGCGTGAAATGTATGAGTGTAATATTTATGTTCTTATAGACTCCGACATTATTTACCGCTGAAAATTTATACAGGTCCTGCTACATTACTAGTGTTGTTTTTGTTGTAGACAGTGTATAGTCTTTGGATCCAACACGTCATCTGAAAGATAATTTCCTCCCGTTACCCTTCTGAACAATCTTGAGGGACTTAAAGAGTATATTAAAGTGTTGCAGAAAATCCCTATATATTGATGTATTTTTTCATTGAGCTGCCAAAAATTTCTTACTTGAACACATTTGTTCATACCCCGGTTGGTGGCTCTCGCGTCGCGCTGGTGTCAGTCATTAATCATCACAGTATACACGAAGGGATAATCGTAAAGTAATAGCTTGACTAATATGATATCTTAAGTTTTTGGTTCAATAGTCACGCGTAGATTAAGTGGTGCTAGAGAGAAATAAACATGATAAAACCAGGCAGGCTTTAGACCAGGTAGAGGGTGTATTGATCGTTTATCCACCCTTCGACAAATTCTGGAACAGGAATATTTACCGGTGTTTAACAATCTCCACATTTCCTGACGTAAAGTCGGAATTTAACTCTGTCGACCGGGATGTATTACGCTAATGTTTGGCCGAGATGGTATGTTACTAATCAGGGTAACCTACACGAACTCATACAGCTGTGTAAGGGCTTATGAAGGGTTTCCATCTGAAGTGATAACAGCCAGTGATGTCTTTCACGGATGCTCACTGTCCCCGTTTGTGTTTAATTTCATCATAGATGTACTACTAGGAGTTGACCCTAACTGACTTCAGTTACTTATGGGTTGACTTGTCACCGGGGGATAAATAGTCTTATCGAATTAGAATATGCGGATGACATATTACTTCTAGATGAAGACACTGATGAGATACCGAGTCTTCTGAACACCTTGAGTTGCAGTCTTCGAATGTCTGGAAGTACGATATGCCCTTTGTAGGGAGTAGATAACTCTGAGGTAAGAGTCTTTTCTTGTGCTTTACAACTGCTTCTAGAGAAGTTGAAAACTGAAGACTAGTGTCGCGTGGACTGCCCATCGACTGTAGCCTTCAACTTTCCATGTGTCACTTGACTTCCACTGAACCAACCAGATAGTGTACTATTTCTTCACGAACTAAATGTTCCTCATAAACCTGTATCTACATTTGCCTACAACGAGAAGCGAATACAGCTTAAGTGTAAATCAGTCAAGCTACTCTAAGTTAGTTCAAAGTAATTAGTGATCCCTATTTGAGATCCTGAAATAGATTATACGCAGCTGAGAGATTTAACACTGGGTTAAACCTATTGTGTTAAGGTGTGTGATAATAATAATAGTAATATAGTGTGGTTTGTAGCTAGGACATATTACTACTATAGCCTAAGCCAGTGAATTAGGTCCTCATCAATCAATAGTCTCGTCCTTTGATTCCAAAATAGCACTGTCTCTATTACTTTTCACGGCGTGGCTATCGAACCAACTATGCAAGTGGGTTGAGTATGTTGAGCAAAGGACAAACAAAATCCATTTGTAGCGCTATTCTATCTCATCTTGTGGATACAGAACACAAGATTGATGTTAACCAGGCTTTCAGAGTGATTTACCGCATACCAACAAATCTTCATTTCGTCTTAAGAGTTCGATTACTAGATATTGCTGAGGCTGTTGGGATCCATATTAACAAGCCTAATTTATGGATCCAAAAGAAGTTAGTGCAGACGTTATCATTACCTTGACCATCTAGGTTTGAATAATTCTGAATTTTTGTGGGATTTCCCTAATTTTAGTTGGTACTTTATATATCTTTATATCTTTATTATTATTATTATTGTTTAAGCATCTTTAATGAACTGTAATTGCATTGATCATACTTTACAAATCCTCCATACAATCAAACAAAATTCCTACAAAACCAATACTTAAAAATCGACATTATTTAAAAAACACTAATATTGTTATTAGCTACTAATCTAGAGTATTCTGTATATATATATATATAGTTGTAAAGCCGGAAGAGGAATTTATCGAAAAAAATATTCTTTGCTCCATTATTTTGTATTTTATACATTTTAAACTGTTTAGCATCCAGTTGTAGAAATTGTTCGGTTAGAATACGTGGAAATCATGTACAAATTGTTACTGTTGAAGCGAATATCTTATGAAATATAGTTGATTTAATTGAATTTTTGATTTTCCCGTCGATTGATTGAACCGAATTGGTCGGTCTTAGATTGACATGTCGGCTGCTTGTGCAGATGCTTCGACGATGTCTGGGTATTTAATTATTATTTAATTGGTGGATGGTGACTAGCAGTGTAATCCAGGATGCGCATTTCGTCCCATTTGGGAATCGCCAAGAGGTGGCTCTCGTGGCTCAAGTTGTTTAGTGGATAACGCTTTGGCGTTTGAAACTATGGGCACTGAGTTCGAGCCTTGGTGGGAACATCATCACTCACTGAGAAATGCAGGTACATCCAGCTGGCGGTTCCCAAATAGGACGAAATATGCATCCTGGATTCCATTGCTAGTCACCATCCACCAAATAAATACTAATTAATTGCCCAGACATCGTCGAAGCATCTGCAAAAGAAGCTGACTTGTCAATTTGAGACCGAGCACTTTGAAAGAACTGAGAATGTATACATTTAAATTATAAGAAATAATATGACATTACATTTACCGTTAACTTCCTATTTCTGCTCTGTGCAGCCGTTTCCTCGATTGGCTTGCTATCTGTTCGAATTCCACTTCACCTAATTAGGTCCTAATGGCTGGATAGAAGCATTAGTTGTTGTTCAATAGTTCTACATGCATACAAATCGGTGCTCGATTGTGTAGAGTTGCATTACACCGTAGTTTTTGTATTTTTTAGCTGATCCCATATGAAGTAAAAATCAATATCACTTTATATTAATACTTTGAAGCCACCATAAACCATTGTTTATTATATTTCTCAATAAGTTTAACGTAAAACACAAGAGTTGACATAGTACACCGGCTATACACAATAATTATTCAATGGGATTGAAAATTCATCGAACAAAGAGGTATTAAGTCGCCAACACATGAGTTACGAATCGTCGAAACTATTGTTACTTAGGAGTAGTAAGGAGCCTTATGAAACTGACTGCAAAACGATGCTACAAATAACCATCTGGGTGATAAATGCATAAAAGTTGTTCACATTGATAGTTCATTAGATATTTTACTCAATGAAACACTATTATTTACTGGATAACATTTCGAACACAATTTATGGTTTTCTGTTAAATCTCAGGTAATGCTCTAATTTTGGAATTTGGTTCTTATTGTTCTAGTTCTTCTCAAGGTAGCTCAAACAGACTTTAAATCAGGGAATAAATCAGTGTCATTATCTTCCACGGGATTCGATTTTCAGGATTGCCGCCTCATTCCATACTGTTTCATGGGTGTGAACAATTGAATGAAGTGCTATAGCTGAGAAGGTACTGGTTATATGGATAATAATAATAGTAATAATAATGATCCTAAGACAGAATTTTTAGAAACCTCTACTACACAAAAATATTGTGAAGTAGTCCAAGGTATTACATGAGATTCTCAAAAGGATTTTTATTGTGATGTCATTTAACACCAGAGAGTTACACATAAATAAATAAATGACATTGCTTTTTAATAGATATTTTTGAGGGACATATGTGGTATGAGACTAGAGCCAACCGTCTGATCTCACTAATATGTATGTGGTTCCTCATGAGATATAGGGGACAGGGCTGTAGTGATGATAGTTTTTTGGTGGTCACGTATTCATCGTTTCAATTTAAATAAGGATTTTGGGTATTAATTGAACTATCTGGGTTCTGATGTTTTCAGCTAACTGGTGATATTTGACCTTATTAGCTATGCGTTTCATAGTATTGTGTACACATTTTCTACATGATGGTATCCGATACTTTAATTGGGGACGCCGCAATCAAGTTAGCGGTTTGTTTTTTAGTCTGAGCCACTTGCAGGCAATAATTCAAGCATTTACGACTTGAAGGACTTAGGAGACCACTAGTTACGAAAGTTTCGCGCAGCCAAATTTAATGAGAAATGAGCATATCTAAAGGGAATAAATGACTAAACACATCCGAAATATCTACGCCGTAACAGATTTCAGCCTAGTGATAAGACACTCAAACGCCATGCACATAATCAGATTGACTCAATTCAAACGTGTATCACAGAGTTATTGAGGAAGGTGACGGAAAGGTTCTAAGCTGTCGACGAATCACCAGAAAACTTAAAGAAACTATTTTCAGATTATGTAGATGTAATTGTGAGTAAAAGGAAAGAAAAGAAACGCATGAAGCTGCTACCTAGTTTGGAGAACAAGGCACCTGAAACAAGATTTCTTCCGAACACAAGTCGTTTTGTGTATAATTTTTCGGATGTAGTCTTTATTGAAGTAGATCCATGGGTTTTATCGCTTGGCCCTAAATTTTGTGATATCCATGTTAAAATTAATAAAATGGATGCACAAATTCATTTCGAAAGTCTCTACACTCAAACTGAAGGCCTAACACCCTTATCAACTGAAGATGTTGAAAGATTTAAATCAACTCTGGTTGATTGTTGCTATTATTATATAAATAGTAAATGTAATTCGGACTAAAAAAAAACATAGACAGGTTTTAGGTATGTTCCGTAAAAATGATAGCATAACAATAACAAGACGGAATAAGGGCTCAGGAGTGGTTATCATGA